ATTGGGAAGAGGGACAAAGAGATCCAGTGACCCCCAGCACCCCTCCCCCAGTCCATTTTCAGGGTCCCGAAGTGACGATGTTTAAATAGAGGGCCAAGGATACACACAGCTAAGCAGTCCTGGTCAAGGTATGGTCTCGCTTACTACTGACCGGGCTTCAGTCTCATCTTGTAAGGTGGTCTGACAGGGTGTACCAGAGACAAGTTCTCCCTCTGGGTAGGTCCTTTTCCTTCTCCTAACAAGAGATTCCTGGGGGGAATTTCTCTTTCTTTGCGGTCCATTGTTTCACTGGTCTGATAGGCAGACTGAGAGACACAAGCGTCTCTGTAGAATGTCTTCATTCCTGCCAAGCCAGTTACATTTCCAGGATCAACTAACTAAAAGGGGAAAAGTCAGACTTGAATGTGGGTAGCCACATCCCATAGGCTCAAGGACCAGATGAATAAAATGAGGAAAGAATTTCCTGGCTGTCATACTGTGAGTTGCTCTGTTCCACCAAAAGCAGACAGAAACCTCTAGAATCATGAGCCAAAACAAAGCTGTTTTCCTTTAAGTTGTTTGATTCAGGTATTTTGTCATAGCATCATTAAACTTAACAACATATATCCCATGGTAGCTTAGGTACTGATGTGATAGGTGGTGGTATAAAATGTTGACCGGAGATGGAAGTTTGGCCAAACTTTCTGGATGGTCATCTGATAATATATCAAAGTAGCTTTTTTTTTTTAATTATTCACTATTATTACAGCTGGCCTGGAGCTTACTACGTATACCAGGCTGGCCTTGAACCCTCAGAGATCTGCCTGCCTCTGCCTCCCGAGTGCTTGGATTAAAGGCTTGCGCCACCATGCCCGGCCTTATTTATTATTTTTATTTTATGTGTATTCGTGTATTGCCTGCATGTAGGTAAGTGCACCGTGTCGTGCAATGCCCGTGGAGGTCAGAAGAAGCTGTCAGATCCCCTGGGACTGGAGTTACGGACAGTTGTTAGCTGCCATGTAGATGCTCGGATTTGAACCTGGGTCTTCTGCAAGACAACCAGTGTTCTTAACTGCTGAACCATCTCTCCAGCCCCAAAGTAGCTTTAACGTATGCATGTAAAAGCTGATCCAAAACTTCACTTCTAGATTATTCTTCTAAGAAAACAACTAAAATAACATGTAACCTTTTTTATTATGAAAGTATTCACTTAAGCATTATTCATATTCTCAAAAATGAAAGGAAATGAATATTTGCAATCATAAAATAGACTCAATAGTTATAAAAATCCTTAAAATAATGATTCAGATAACATTTGTGAAAATGAAGATATTCTGTATGTATTTAGGAATAGAATGATATCAAAAGAATTTTTGTAGAAGTGATCAATTAAAAAATTTAAGTTCGTATGTATTAGTTGCTTTTCTTTGCTGTGATAGAAACACTGACTAAAGCAATTTATAGGAGGAAGAGTTTATTTGAGCTTACAGTTCCAAAGAGGCAAGAGTCCATCCTGGCAGGGAGGCATGGTGGCAGAGGTGGCTGGAGGAGGAGCAGAAACCAAACTCTACATCTTCAAGCAGGCACAGGAAGCAAGAGAGCGACTGGAGATCTGGCAAAGCTTAAGAACTCTGTAAGCCCACCCCCAGTGATGTGCTTCTTCCAGCATGGCCACACCTTCTAAGACCTCCCAAAACAGCGCCACCAACTGGGGACAAAATGTCCAAATACTTGGAGCCTATGGGGGACAGTCCCATTCAAACCATCACAACCTACAAAAACTATACAAAATAATTAACAATAGTTAATTTGGCATAGTGGATAAAGAATGGTTATAATTTTAAAAATTGCTTCTCCCCCCATAGGTATACTTTGGTTACATAGTTAAATATTTTCAATAAGAATTCAGTCTAGAGGCCGGAGAGACGGCTTAGTTGTTAAAAGCACTTGCAGAGGACCAGAGCTCAGTTCCCAACAACTATTTCAAGTGGCTCACAATGGCCCATAACTCCAGCTCCAGGAGATTCAACACCCTTTTCCAGCCTCCACAGGCACCTGCACTCACATGTACATACCTACACACAGAGACAGTCTGCACACACATTATTAAAAAATGTATAAATCTAAAAACAAGAATCGAGTCTATACAAGATTGGGTTTGAGAGAGGAATACTTGATTCTTTGATGTTTGATCAAATGAAATTAATCATGAAGAAATTTGGGAAGACTGGTCTACCATGCAAAAGAATTTCTTCTATCTACTATTCTAGGAAATGGCACACTTCTGTTCTTCAACCTATTTTTCCTTCTAGCTCAAACCCTTTCTCAAAGCTTTGGAAAACCTTCCTTCTTGGACAAATTTAGTGTCTTGGTATAACCAAAGCTAAATGTTTGCTTCTGCAGCTAGGGTGAGCACCAGGCTAAAGGGGTAAGGTTTAAACAAAATTCATTGAATCCACACAGTATATCACAGCACTGTCAAGTTGAGCCCACAAAATCCTGGGCAAAGAAGGCAATTTCATTGTGCCTTTTCTTATAGATGGAGAAAGTATCATCCAGGCCACCCACTTATTGAAGAGCTAATGGAGTAGATAGCTGCTGGAGAGAGAAAATCATTCTTTGAGTATGTGGCCATTGATAGGTGTTGCAGGCTCTATTGGGTGGCCCCACAGCCATACACATGTGATCAGAACTAACTGTGCTTAATGGGTTATCACACACACAAAACAAGACGTGAAATTCTGAGGAGTGCATGTTGGGGGGAGATGGAGGGAGCTGGAGGGGCAAATGGAGGACAAATATGAACATATTTTATTGTATGCATGTATGAAATTCTCAAAGAATAAAACATTATAATAAAATAAGAATTAAAGTGACAAATAAAATGCAAATTTCTCACCAAAATGCTTAGTTATAGTGACAAAAAGACCAATAACTCAAAAATAATTTAAATAAATTTCAAAATTGAGGCCACAATTTGTATTATACAAAAATGACTGTGGACTGATTTTTATGGAACCCAAGTCCTTCTACATGCTAAGCAAGTGTTCTGCCATGAGCTACCCCTCCCCCATGACTGGATTATTACCTAGGCTGTTTCATCTCCTCTTGGGAAAGAAAGTTCAAAACTGCAGAGGAAACAAATGGCAGAGTAATTTCATAAATTTCCGGGTTGGCTACTATGCAATTAGCTTTGTTACATCATATATAGGTACTGGATGCATTTCCAGATGGCTACTCCATCTTCTGAAAATGATTGGCTGATTATAACTTCCTTAATATAATCTTCTCTTTAGATCATCATAATCAAATGCAGAAAGAACTTTAAATTATGAGCTGTTCTTTCTGCTGCTTATTAAAAACGTCCCCCTCCACCTCTTTCATGCCCAGAGGTAGAATCTCATAAACTTTGTTGTGATTTGAAAGACAAATACATTTGATCTTATTAAAGACAGATTCTTGGGCTGGGGAAATGGCTCAGTGAGTTAAGTACTTACGGTGTAAGTGTGAAGAACTGAGTTTAGATCCCTGGAACCCATGTAAATCAGGCCATGGTAGTCCCCATGTCTGTAATCCCAGCACTCCTACAAATGAGACAAGAGGAGGATGCAGAACTCCCCAGGGTTTATAGTCCAGCTAGTATGCAGTGATGAATAGCAGAAGACCTTATCTCAAGCTGGATGAAATGTGAGGATTGACACCCAGTGTTGTTCTCTGGCCCCTGCATGCATGCCATGGCACATGAGTGCCCACACTCACACACACAAACATGCACAGTAAATCCTTTGGGATGTACAGATACCTAACTTCCACCAACCAAAAGACTAAGAATATGGTCTCAGTGTCTGTGGCCTAGAGCTGAGAGCACTCCACCTTTGAGAAACCCTCCTACCTGAGGTTTCCACCAATATACTTCAAAAGTGTCTTGGTTTTTAATTGTCTTTGTTCTGTTACTATAAAAACTTCGTGAAATGGTCACTATGTTGAAATGTGCAATTTTAGGGCAATCTGAATCTATGTTCCTGGGCCATGATCACTTTGGTTATAAGATAAATGATATCTTTTTTCATTTGGGATGAGAACTGAGTTTTTGAGTCAACACTTTCATATTTTAATGGTGTGTGTGTGTATGTGTGTGTGTGTGTATTTGTGTTTGTGTGTGTGCAGTGCCTGTGGAGGCCAGAAGAGGGCGTCAGATCCCCTGGAGCTGGAGTTACAGGTGGCCATGAGCCACTTGATGTGGGTGCTAGGAACTGAACCTGGGTCCTCTGCAAGAGCAGTTAGTGCTCTTAACCATTGCACCATCTCTCCAGCCCCCTTTATTATTATTTTTATTGATGCATGTGTGTATATGTGCATTTATGCCTGTGTGGGTATAGGTGCACACAAGTGCAGTGCATGTGTGAGGTTCAGAGAACAGCCTTGGGTGTCATTCCTCAGGTAATTTCTACCTTTTTGTCTGAGGCAGGGCCTCTCATTGGCCTGGAAGTTCACCACTTCCAGGATTTAGGTTAATCCAAATCTGTGTTCCCGGGCCATGGTCTCTTCTTTCTGGCTGTAGAATAAACTTTCTCTTACCTCCTTTGAGGTGAGAGTCATGATCTTTGTCAGCATCCCTCTCTCTCTGTTTTCCAACCTCACTTATGCTACCTGCATGCTTGAGCTAGAAAGAGAAGACACGGGAGTCAGAGACAGCAGGGAACTTAGGAGTTACTTAAGGGGACCTGAGGCCCAGTGAGGGGTGCAGGGTCACTGTGGGCGGTCATTGTGAAATGCAGCACCAGAGAGGAGCTAGACATTTGCCAAGCTGAGAGCATACTTTGGTTGTTTCTCTCCCGGTCTCTGTAGTGTCACATGACCTATGACTACTGGCAGAGGGACAGATGATGAATGTGCATCCCGCAGTGACATTGTTCTCTGTACAGGAAGTGGGGCTTTGTGCAGAACAGGCCATGCATGCTCTGAATCCTGCTCCACCCCCCACCTCACCCCAACCTAGAGAATTCTCCCATTTCCTCTGCTCCACCAGCCGGCAGCTGGGGACCTTTTATGATGCAATTCATTAGTTTGTGGTTCCTCAAAGCTGCAACAGAAATCTCTAAGGGGACCAGGCCTCAGCTCTGCTTTATTAAAACGAAATCTCCCCTTGGCATTTCTCTCAGGCACATCTCCAGGTATGTACCGGTGGGACAAAGAAAGGAGGAGGAGGGCGGGGGCTGAAATGCCAGCCATCCAATTAAAGGAATGTTTAACCTTTGTAAAGAAAGACTCTGCCTAGCTTGCTTCTTGGATGGGGAGAGGGAAATGAACTGGTTTAGTAGGAAGCCCCTCGCTGTGAGGAGCGGGTGTTGGTGTTGGTGGATAACATCCCTTCTGGCAGAGGCAGCACAGCCTGCTGTTAAACATTATACTCTCTAGAAGGCCAACTGGCACAGCATGGTGGGAAAGCCTGGGGTACCATGAGCTGCCTCCACAGTGCCCGACTCTGTGAAGGGGGCTGTTTACCTAAGCACTTACTTGGCTTACAAAGACAGCTTGGTGGCCCCTCCAGCTGTTAGATTTCTATTAAGAACATGAAAAACAGGGCTGGAGAGAGAGCTCAGTCTGTCAAGTGCTTGCTGTGTAAGCATGAGGACCTGAGTTTGAGCCATAGAACTCACATCAGAAGCTGGGCGCATGGCGCTGGGGAGGTAGACAAAGACAGGTTTCTGGGACGTTACAGACAGCCAGACTAGCCTAATGGAGATTCCCCTGGCCAGTGAGAGAAACTGTCTCAATAAACTTAGCAGTTAAGAGCACTGGCTGCTCTTGCAAAGGACCAGGGTTCCGTTTCTAGCACCCACATGGCGGCTAACCACCATGGCTATAACTCCAGTTCTGGAGGGGTCTTATACCCTCTTCTGGCCTCCCCAGGCATTTACAGGCAAAGGTACACTATATATATAGGTAAAACACTCAACACATAAATTTCTTTTTATGTATATGTGTGTATTGCCTGCATGTAGGTAAGTGCACCTGTGTTGTGTAATGTCCTCAGAGGACAGAAGAGGCTGTTGGATCCCCTGGAACTGGAGTTACTGACAGTTGTTAGCTGCCATGTGGGTGCTGGGATTCAAGAACAGTCAATATTCTTAACCGCTGAGCCATTTCTCCAGCCCCACACAAAAAATTTTTTAAAATAACACATGTTGCTCCTGCAGGAGATCAGAGTTCAGTTTCTAGCATCCATGTCTTGTGGCTCACAGCTGCCTGTAACTCCAGGGGTTCTGCCTATACATCCTGCTACAGGGGATCTGATGTCCTTTTCTGCCCATTTTGGGCACTGCACTCACATGCACATACACACACACAGACACACACAGCACACATAATTTTAAAAATTAAAACTAGAGACTGGAGAGATGGCTCAGTGGTTACGAGAACGGGCTGCTCTTGCAGAGAACTCGGAGTTCAGTTCCCAGCACCATGGCTGCTAACAACATTCTGTAACTCCAGTTCCACAGAATCCAGTGCCCTCTTTTGGCCTCTGTGGACTTTGTATGACATGGGTGCATTTACACACATGCAGATAAACACTCATACACATAAAATAAAAATAAATAAAACTAAATCTTAAATTTTCTTTTTTTTAAAAATACTTATTTTAGTTATTATTATGTAATCTTATTATCTATTATATGGTAGTTAGCGGCCGTGTGGGTCCCGGAAACCAAGTCCTCTGCAAGAGCAGTCAGTACTCTTAAGTGCTCAGTCATCTTTTCAGCCCTGATATCTTAAAGCTGGAAGCTGGAAGATCCTTAAAAGCCAACAAGTTCTAAAGGAGACTTGTTAGACTCAGGAAGTGTCTGAATTGACCAGATGCATATACCTGCTCCCCATGTTTACCTAAACAGTAAGGACGGCTGAGGAGAGGAGAGCTATCAAGCTGCCTCAGAGAGACCAGCTCTGCTGGTTAGTTTTTGTCCACTTAACACAAGCTGGAGTCACCTGGGAAGAAGGACCCTCAACTGAAGAATTGTCTCCATCAGATTGGCCTGTGGACAGGTCTGTGAGGTATTTTCTTGATTGCTAATTGATGTAGGAAGGCTTAGCCCACTGGTTCACCAAGTGGAAATTTTACTCTGGTCTGTCATTGGTTCTGTATCTGAGCTGAGTAAGCATTCACTCACCTCTCCCCAGGACTACTTGTCATACAACGCACCTCCAGCAAGATGAAGCAATGGGTGTGGCTATTCCATGGGTGATGAGCTCTGGAGCCTGGATTTGGACCTACCTGGTCACAAATAATCTGGGGGACGTGGTGGGAGACATTCATAAACACTTGCAGATGCTAATCCATGACCAGTTCCTGCATTTAATTACCTGCTCCGTATTGTGGCAAATAAAGCCCCACCCCCCTGACTACCAGATCACCTCAGGCCTCCAACGAGCTTGTCAACTGGCCTCCAGCTTGTTTGACAGACCTGTCAGAAGCCGGTTCCTATCCAAAGATGCACAGCCTGAGTGTTTCTGACAGTGATGGGCTTTCCCTGAGCTTGTGATGGCTTTGAGCAGAGAAAACGTAATCCCCAAACAACAGACACCTTTTTGTCCCCCAGGCACTGAATAAATCAGTAGAGATCCCCAACTCCATAATTCTAACAGAGCCATCTCTCATGGCTGTAGCAATCTGCTCTCTCCCTGGTTAGAGATCAGCTGTAATTGATGGAGACACTGACAGATCTTTGTCTTCTTCAACTTCTTGTGTCGTTTGGCAGCTGGCTTAGACTTTACTGCCTGTGACTCTCTGTCTCTCTGTCTCTCTCTGTGTCTCTCTCTGTCCCTGTCTCTCTCTCTCGGCTCCCCTGAAACAGATGTGTGTCCCTGCTCCCTAAAAACAAGATCTGTAAGAGCCCAGCAGGGCTTTAACATGACTCAGCTTTTTGAAAAACGTGTAATTAGAGAGTTCCAAAAGAATGAGTTTATTATAGTGAATCTGCAAAAATGAACTTGCATCTCGTTTATGAGTCATTAGATTCTGTGTTCTACCAGCCTGATTGCTATTAATGCTACCAGTGTATAATTTAGCAAGCTTTATTAAAATGGGTTACAATTAAGCATGGCTGGGGCTGGGCTAGGCTTTAGTGTTGACTTGTCTTCCCATGAACAGATCTCTGTGCCACTAGTCTTTCACTGGGGTACTCTAGGCAAATGCTCTACCTCTGAGCTATGTCCCCAGGCCCTCACTGAGGGGATTTCAGGTAAGCACCTTACTTCTGAACTATATCCATAGCCTTTAATTTTCTGAGGCAATATCTTGCTAGATAGTGCAATCTGGATTTGAACTCATGATCCCCCTTCCTCGGTCTCTGAGTGCTGGGATTACAGACGTAGCATACCTGACTTCTGTAAATAATTTCTGGGTCCTTTCTTTCCACATCAACATCTATAATATACAATGATGGGAATGGGTCTGGAAAAATGGCTCAGTGGGTAGAGGCACTTGCTTCCAGGCCTGATGAACTGAATTCAATTCTTGAATCCCACGTGATGGAAGAAGAGAACAAAGTTCCCCACTAATGTTGTGGCACAGACACACGCACAGACACACACACAGACACAGACACACGCACACAGACACAGACACACAGACACACAGACACACACACACACACACACACATTAGTGTAACAAAATCTTCAGTAAAATCCCAGTTTATACAACAGACAGCAATGAAGGGCCAGGTGGTGTGCATGGCTGTGTGAACTCAAAGATGTTCCTTCTGTTTTGGGACTCTTTTAGAGGAGCTCTGTATGCCCAAGGAATCCTTTGCCTGTCTCTTGTCAACACACAGGGAGCTGTCCAGAAGGTACTTGCAAGAGGACAACACAGGGAGGAGCTAGAAGGTCTTGTTGAGCTCCAGGATGGGGATTGAACTGCCCAAGTTTAGGAATCACCTAACTTGTTGAACATCAGTGCAATGAGGAAGTGACAGAATCAATCTCCCAACTGAATGCTGACACCAGCTGAGAAGTTCTGTTTAATGAAATCCACAGTATCTGACATATTCTTGACTGGTTTGCCAATATTGTTTCCTAGGGAGTGGCAAAGGCTGTACGAGGAAACTGCTATTCTGGGCTTCACTCCAACCCACAGAATATACTTGGTTGATGTATTAATTATTTACACACTGCCAGCACAAAACACGTGGTAAAAGCAACTTAAGGAAGTGCTAATTTTGGCTCACATTTGAGGACACAGTCCATCATGGTGGGAAGGCATGGTGGCAGGAGCATGAGGCAGCTGCTCACATGGCATCCACAGTCAGGAAGCAGAGAGAGATGAATGCTGGTGCTCAGCTCGATTTCTCCTTTTTTATTCAGTCCAGGACCCCAGCCCATGGGGTGGTGCTGCCCACATTCAGGGTGGGGCTTCCTACCTCAATCATATACATACTCAGAGGTTTGTTTCCATGGTGATTCTAAGTCTGATCAAGTTGAAAATAAAATCAAGATTACACATCAGAGTTGCTGAAATGGAAGTGACTGAATTCCTGAGAATGAATGAGCTAGAGTATCTGACAAGATAAGGAAGGCTCTCTACAAGGAGACACACTGTACTGTCCCTCTTTGGTATCAGTGACCTCATAAAGCAATCAGCAATATTCCAAGACATTAATCAGCCTCCCATCCTTGAGTGCATCACTTTATGAGGCTCTGAAAAGGAAGTTCAAAAAAAAGAAAATGAGCTGTACATGGTGGCGCTCGCCTTTAATCCCAGCACTCGGGAGGCAGAGGCAGGAGGATCGCTGTGAGTTCAAGGCCAGCCTGTTCTGCGTAGTGAGTTCCAGGACAGCTGGGGCTACAGGGAGACCCTGTCTCAAAAAGACCAAAAAAAAAAAAAAGGAAATGAGCCAGATGTGGTGGCACACACCTTTAATCTCAGCACTCCAGGGATAGAGGCAGGTGGATCTCTGTGAGTTCAAGGCCAGCCTGGACTATGTATCAAGGTCCACGCCAGCTGGAGATACAGGGAGATCCAGTTTCAAAACACACGGACACAGACACACAGACACACAGACATGAAAACAAGATGTCTAGGATGGAGCTGCAAAGAAGTCGTGAAAAGTAAGACCCTCCACACCTGCAGCTACTGAAAAGGTTGAGAAAGATGGAATAGGGTTTTTAAAATCACA